CTCCTCAGGAGAAAAAAAACAAGACTTCCAGGAAGCAGGAAACCAGGTCCCATCATTGAAAATCTCTCTCAAGCTTTACACCAGAGGATAACAAATGCAAATGGCATCATGACATGAAACACCTGCTCCACAAGGAACAGCGGGAATAATCTGGGATAATCTCCCACCCACCAGTCCTAAACACCAGCTCTCACAAGACTGGCGCTACAGGATGGGATTTAGCTTAATCCTCTGCCCCACCAAAGCATTATCTCTTGGAGCAATCTGAGACCCTACTCAGCCAGCAGCAATACATGTTCTGAGGGTGGCCCGAGCAGAGACTTTGCAAAGGGGGCAACAGGCTACTGGCCCTGAACCATGCACAGCTGATTTTTGGCAGCTGAGTTCATCTTAGTCACGGCTTGTTAAGAGAACTTTTCACACACTCACTTTGCTTTTCCAATTCACACCCTGCTCCCCCAGCTCCGGGGCCCGTGTTGTGGGGACAGACCCGGTCGCTCGACTCACGCTCCGCGGCCGTTGGGCGGCAGAACCGTTGCAGGAGGCCGGGCAGCCTCAACCGCCTCCACCTGCTGCCTCCGCCCGACTGTTGGTGGCGTAGCTGCTCCTTGACACTAGGTCAGTTTCACTGCAAAACACTTCCAGGGGTATCTAGACCTGAGTTGGGCTGCAGGGACTCTAGTCGAGACAAATCCCAAAGGAGACCCCAGCGTGGTCCTCCCAAGGACCCAGAATAGGGGCAAGCCCAGGGTGCAGGGAACAAGCAAGTTCTCCCTCCTGCATCCCGAGACCAAGCCCTGCTCTGGTAAGGCCCAGCTTTGGAGATGTTGGGTCAGCCAGTTGTGCTACACACCTCAGCCTGCCCTAAAAACTGTTTCTGATAGTCCTCTCCCTTGCAATGCTTTACCCACAGAACACAGGACATTTGAAGGACAATGGTGTGAACCGTCTCACCTGAACAACTGCTCCCAACACATTTGCAGGGCAAAGAGAGGAAACACACACATAAATACACAAAAATGCAAAACTCCACGCTAGAGAAAACTGCCAGTGGCACTGAACCCACAGTGCGCAGAACCCAACCACAGGGGTAAATCCAGTGCCTCTCCATTGAACTACTGATGTTGCACCAGTTGACTTTCCCAGGAACCTAATGCTTCCACCCCTTGCAGAGAGATACTCCTCTGCAAACCCTTGCTTTGCAGCAGTGCGTGCTTTTGCTGGCAGCCATTACTTTTCTTCTCAGAATTAAAGATTAACAATTAAATTATTTGACAGGAGAAGAGAGGCCCAGTGCTAATTGAGTTTCTAGGGTTCTCTGTGCAAAAAAAAAATAAAAATTGATAGTTCTCAGTATCAGCATTTCACCAGAACTGGGCAGTTTTCAGTCTCAGACTTAATTAGACAGGAAGCTAAAGAAACAATCACAAACAAGCATTAAAATAAAGCACCCAGGCCATATAAAATAGAGGAACTCGAAGCCAGTTGGGAGGCTGTGAACAGAGCAAGCTGACATGTCTGTGCCACTGAAGAGAGCCACTTTCTAATCCACATACCATCATTTATTGAAAACGGAAGCTAATGCAAACACAGAGGAGACGGTGCCCGTGTAGGCTGGGGAGAAGCCAGTAGGTGTCCTGCAAAGCTGAAGTGCTCCATTGCAAGGAACACGGTTCCTGCGTGCTCTGGGCCTGCAGCCCGGGGTGCAGTGCTTAGCACCAGCGTTAGCATCGAACGGCTGCACCAGCTGGTTGACCCTTTGAAGCCACCCCGTCCCCTGATGCCACCATGAGTGCCTGAGGCACATGCCCAGATTCACTAGGGGCTGCACCAGTGTAAACGATTTAAACCGTTTTCTGGCTGCTATTAGAATGCACCAAGATGACTCCTGCTCAGATACCCCTCTTGGGCTAATTTAGGGAAACAAGTTTGCAGTTTACATCCTTTGGCCTCTTCTTGTTTATTTGGAGAATAAATGTTCTGTATGTTCAACACAGTAACCTACCCTGAAATTCCAATTTCTTCAGTAACATGCAGATTGCTTGCTGATTTCCCTCTCGCTGGGCCGGGAGGAAAGCAGTCCTGCAGGTCTTCGAGGATTCTTCTGTAGGAACCAATGAACAGAGAAAATCCCAGAAGGTTCCCAAGGCAGCACGTTTGGCACTAGCCAAAGGAGACTTGGAACAGAGCTCATGCTGGTGGCTTTTGGTGCACCGAGTTGAACGGCTGTAATGAAGTTTGCTTGTCACATCCAGCACGAACATTTCAGTGGGATCTTAGATACAGTCCATCCCTCTAAAGCATGATAGGATGAGGCCAGCCTCTCTCTCTAACTTCCACTGCTGTTTTCTATTATTATTTTTGAGTTAGAAATGAGATACTTCTGCCTGGTACCCAGATAGCCAGCTGTTGGAAAGGCTTTGCTATTCCCACATTCTCTGCTTTCTGGCCCTGTACAAGTCCATGGTGAAATGGTTGCAAGCCACTGGTTTTAGGAGAGCATTTAGTAACCAAAGAGAAACAGGCAGAAACGCAGAAGTTAGCATTCCTAAATCATTTGAATACAGTGCACAGCAGCCAAAGAGAACTGGAACATCCACCAGGAAACCCGAGGAAAAGAGATCTCACAGGTCTCACAACAGCTAGATTAGCGTATGGGTAGGTAGAGGTGGGGTATCCCTCCACGTGAGCTGTCTGAAGATTTTAAATATTGAAATGTTCTACAGCATGAGTTTAACTCCCTTCCCATTAGGAAATCCCAGCTCTGACATGTTCCTTCCTGCCCAACCCACTGTGCCAGTCTCTGCCAGGGCTGAGAAGTATTTGTAAAGCATTTTGTGTGAACGCACCGGGGGAAATAGAACATTTGCCTAAGTCCTTGCTGTGCATTTTTGATCAGTTAAACAAATGCCTGTTAGGTTTTACATATAGAAGTAAAGTATGGGAAAACAAGCCATCATTTTTCATAAAGATTTACTTCCTTGTAGGAACTGAGACCATGAAATTCATTCTACTTGCAACCGAGAAGCAGAAAGAATCAGAAAATCATCCCCAAGAAACATTAGCAGACTTGCACATTTGTGATAGCATGACCACATACTCAGATGAGCTCTTGAATTGAATTTACAGTAAAGCTGAACACCAATTTTTGTGCTCTTTAACCTTATTTTTAAAAAACAGAAGATTTGCAGTTTTTAATTATCTTTTTGCACTTAAAGCTTATGAGGTTTGTATCGCTTCTCCCTATACCTCTCCCCCCACACACAGATTTTTCCAATTCCCTATTTTCCTGCAGCCTATAGCTAGCGAGAAGTATACACAATCAGTGCGTATTGCAGTATTTGGCATCTCACTGCCGAAGTGGCAGGAGTCTTTGGTTACCAAGTCATTTGCCGCTTAATTGAAATCTTTTCTCTAGACTCATTGCCATGCAGACACTCTATTGGAATGCAGTCAGTTTTGCAGCCCAGTATCGATCGCCTCCCGCTCCCAGCCTTCCTCCTCTGCGTTTGCAAGTTAATTGCACCATATTGTTTTCCTTTTTTAAAAATCACCCCCGCACAACTCCAGTTACTCTGAAACACGCTGGTTTACCCTGCACAGTTCCCTAGAGCAAGATACAGGATTTGGTAGCAGTAAAAGCCAGATCCACAGCTGTGGGAATCAACTAGTTCAGATAAGGTTTAGCCTGAGAATGGACTGCCAAGGCAGAAAGGTGGTTCAAAATGCCCTAATCAACGCTTATATAAACAACATTTGTTGGAGTCTTTGCAGAGGGTGAAACCATGAATCTCACCTCTTCCTCAACAGATTTCTTTATTATGCATTGGTATTGCAATAATATCTGCAGGCTTCAGCCAACATCAGGCATCTGAACCAACAGGCAGAGGCAGGTATTGTCCTAAACATGGTGCCCTAATCACCAACTATGCCTTTGTGCTTATCTAGGTTATTTAGCTCACTGTTTCAGCATGAGAAGTGATCTGTTTTTTTGATTAGAAGTACATGGTGGGAACTGTGTAGTAACATCTTCCCTCTTAGAAATTGACCTTTCCTGCAAAATTGAGAAGGAGCACTTTGTCCTCGGGATCCCTCATTCCTGTGCAGATGGCAGCAACAAGAGACTTGCTAAGCCAAAGTCATCACCTGGCAGATCTCACAGGCTCCCACTGAGTCAGAAGACACTGAGTCAGCCTTGAGGCTTCTGCAGGGGAGAGTTTCCAGGAATTTCACCCTTTCTGCCCCCGGGGGGCATGTTCCAAGGAGATTTTATTTCGTTTCATCCCCCATCCCAACAGGAGTAACGTTCCAGGTTTGCGCTCCAGCTCCCTTTCTGTCCGGACACTGCATTGCTGTGCTGAACTCAGACCCCTGCATTGCAGGTGCCTATAGGAAATGCTGTGCTGGCCGGTGGCAGGAAGCAAACAGGAGCCTGGCACATTCCGGTCCCAAAGGCTCTGCAAGATCTATGCAATCACGTTGGGCCCGTTTGAGCCTCAGATTCCAGATTGATCTGATCCTACTCACTTTTTGGAAAATTAAACTGTCAGGGAACAGGGTACACTCCCTGCTATTTGCCATGTAATTAAGCAGTAATTTCTGCCCAAGGCTAATCTCTGAGTGTATTTTTCCTCTGGAACTCGGTGCCAGAGTTCACATTTGTGATTTAATGGCATGCCAGGGAGCTATACCTAAATTCACAAAAGGATTTTCTCTACTCATCATCTCTCTTCTCACTCTCTACTCATCATCTCTACTTTGGTGGCAGCTGGGATTCTATATTCAGAGATGTTTGGGCTGGGCAAACAAATTAACACAAACCAACCTCATTAGGAATCCACATGGGTACCCATATTGCCTCATACTGGGAATGAGATGCTGACGGCTCCTTTTCTGGAGCCCAGGCGCTCCTCAGTATGGCAAGTGTTTTAAAACCTGTCTTTTTTTTCTTTCTTCCTACTCACACAGCTTGGCAGCCTCCAAAGAAGCCGAAGCAGCAGCACGATCTGCCCCCAAGCCCATGTCTCCTTCCGATTTCCTGGATAAACTGATGGGGCGAACTTCAGGATATGATGCTAGGATCAGACCAAATTTTAAAGGTACTGGGAAAAAAAAAAAAAGGCTTTTGTGGCCTTATTTTGGGTCAGAGACTGCATGCCATCCTAAATAATTTCTTCCCTAGCTATATATGAATTACAAAAATTATTTATATGAAATATGCATGGTCATGACAGACCTGGTATATAGGTGTTGTACAGAGCAGATATTGTTGCCAAGTCTGGATGGATTGTTAGTTTAATGCCCATGCACATATAGAGATGCCAAACACTTGGGCTTTCACCATTTCCATTCGTGTTGCTCTGCATACAGGAGAACTGGCTGGGTTAGATATGCTGGGTGTCAATGAATTCTTAACAGCAGTCAGGAGCAACAAGCACCCATAGGATGGTACTTGGCCCTGCTAAAACTACGGATGAGATTTAGGAGGGAAGTCTGTGATCAGCCTAGATTGAGGCTTGACATCAGCTCTACTGTTACGTGGTGAAGAGGGGCCTGGCCCTAACCCGGCTAGATGGATGAAAATAAATGTGAGTGTGAATTAAGGTACCGGGTACACTTGGACTGTATGACACATAAGTAGGAAATCATCACATTCCAAAGTTACATGAAGTAAATCATCCATCCCAAATGAGTTTTGATTAAAGGCATGCATTTTGTTACCAATATAGAAAAGTTGCTTAAGGAGTTATTCTACAGAGGGTAGGCAATGAAAACAGAAACATATTTCATATCCCTCCTTTTTGTAAAGCTAAAGAATCTTAAAAGCAGAGGGCAAAATTTCTTTGTAAATAAATAAATAAATAAACCTCAACGCTTTAGCAAGGAAAAGAAACCAGTACCAAAGCTAGGCCATCCTCCCTTGGAATGAGACAACTCAGTTTCTTTGACAAAGAGTAGAGAAGCATATAGTGGGGCTATACTGATTTTCAAACCCCTATCTGAAGTTGCCTGGGTGGCAAAAGTCCCTGTTGCGTTAACAGGCAGGGGAAGAGCAAGACAATGAAGTGAGAGTAGAAAATACAGCAGTCTTGGTGCTTGCACAATGTGAAGCACCAGGTGCCATCACAGAAGCACCATGCCATGTCCATGTGCAGTACGTGCCCAGGGACAGCACATGCTCGTGTTTGCATATGTGCAAACACACCTCAGTCCTGGGAGCAGTTCCAAGTGATCAAACCTGGCAATTTGCTTCTCTTCCCTGGCAGCTGGACTCCCACCGTGCTGCAGGGGCTGATTCACTCCGATCACTTCATTCCACAAAGTTTCAAGGGAGCAGCATTGCCTGGAGCTTAAATCACTTGTGTCCTGTCCAGCCCAGCTCTGTTACCACTTTTTCACTGCCTGGTTACATGGTCAGATTCTTCACTGTCAAAAGGGCCTACGAAGCCCTGGAGTCTTCAGTGCACATCCTGGACAGCTAACACTTCCCCTCTGTTCAGCTGCATTAACATGCTTTTATCTGCAGAGCACCATGCTCCCTATGGAGGCTCAGCACACACCAAGTCATCTTCCAAATCCCTCTAACAAGATCTGTAAAGATATCCAATTTCCACTCAGAACAGGAACAACCTTGTAAGAACCTTTTACAACCAGCTAAGCATTTACATAGTCCCTGGCAGCCATGGAGTGGTAAACCAGTCCTCGAGGGAGGCAGTGGGACTGCTCTTTGTGCTCTTAGAAAACTCCTTTAACAAGGGCTTTAAAAAAAGGAAAAAAAAAGAAAAAGAAAACACATATATGAGCTCTCTTTCTCAGATTGAATTGTCCTGGATTGGTACTTTATCCCCTGCCCAGGGATAAAGTCGGGCTTGTCCCCCTCTCAGGCATTGCCCAGCCCTCTAAGATACTAGTATAATTTGCCTGTTTTGTTTCCTATTGGTGGTTCTCCCTCCAAGTAGGAGGGCAATGGTCATGTAGGACTCCCAGGACTCATTAACGGCAGGTACTAAACTCTGTCCTGGGGTTTTATATCCAGAGACGGCTGGGAAGCTTTTCTCCTGGTAATCGGCTAGATAACAACGAACTCTGCTATTTTATCCAAGTCACAAAAGGGTTAAAGAAATGCCCTGTAGACCTTCCTACCACTAAGTTATGTACACACAGAAAAGAAATTAAACTTTAATATTTAATGAAATGTAAAAAAAAATGATGAAGGCAGCTGTATTGCAGTTCTACTCAAGATAATTTAATTTCACTTTTACTTCAATGAAGTACACCTTCCCCACAGGGCAGTTTTGCTGGCTTAGCCTCCCACACATAAATCAGGCTCCAATTTATATGGGAGGTATAGGAGATGTTTTACAGAGCGTGGGGTTGTAGCCCTCAGAGCACGTAATTTAAATTAACTGGCAGTAACTCATAAGGGCATTTTAATGGCTTAGATATAAACGAAAATAATACCAAAGGTATATACCAGATTGATTCTTGAGGAGGAAAAGATTAACAAAGAGAAAACCACAGGTCTTCTATAAATGCAGTCAAGGTTGGTCTTAGCTGTGGATTCACGTTTCTGAGAACTAGGAAGGGGCATCTAAGCTTTGGTTTGAGTTGGAGGATGAAGGTAGTAACTCAGGCAGAGAAGGAACTGGGTGGACCCGGTAAGTGTGGGATGAGGGGCCTCTGTGCCCTGGCTGGAAGATTGCAGGAAGGGTAAAGCAAGTGCTAAAGGCAGCTTCCCACTGCAAGTGTACCCAGCAGCTGAGCTGATTAGCTCCAGATCTGTACTACACAGGCTGATTAAAGCAAAGCCTGCCAGCCATAAGCCTGCTGGATAAGAAGAGTAAGTGAAGGTGGAGGGATGAAATATACCACCACTTTGTATCTGATATTTTAGCCTGTTCCTGTATCTAACAGTCTGGAGAAGGGGTTGTGCAGATTGGACAGTCTGTGAACTGCTGCCAGGTTGGCAGAAGGCAGAAGTCTGGAAGCTGGTTAGGCAGAAAGTTGCTTGGATTGCCTGGGACTTGTACCAAAAAAACTCAGGCCATTACACAGCGGTTACATGGCTGTGATCTTATTCCCACAGTGGACAAATACAAAGTTTCAGAAGAGACTAAAGTGGGAGAGGATGGAAGAAAATCCAAGAGGAATAAATCAGGCTCCAAGCGTTACTAATCAGAAAATTCCATTAATTTCCACACAGGAGGAAATTTGCACTGATTGCAGACACAAGTCTCTCGTTAAAGCCATTGGCCACAAATAAGTATTTCATCTCACAGCAGCTGCCAGACTGCAGATGTGCCCTCAACAGGCACGCGTCACCTCCCCTGAGTGAGGCTGAGCCATCAGACAGTGCTTGAAATGCAGACACATCATCCTAGTCCCCATAAAGGATGAAGGGGTAATCTACAAGTCTACACTCTCCATTTCCACAGATGATTTCTTCTAAGACACCAGGGATTTTATGAGACTAACTCCCCAGTATTAAAGGAAACCTTGGTTCCTGGGGCAATATCCTCAATATCCTGGGGCAGAGGCACCTGCTCCCTCCTCCCACAGACCCATCCTCTCTACCAGGACTCTCCTTCCCCATCACACACTAGGCAGCTGCAGCAGCTCTGGAGCAGGAGTCTGCTCTTGTGCTTCCCCGCTGCCCTTGGTAAAGCTCTAGAGTGACCCTTTGGTTGCAAGTGGACAAGCAACAATTCCCAGAGGACGAACAACAACTACAGCTCTGACAGCTTTGGAGCTAAGGGGGAGTCTAGACATTATGCCAGTACTTGCTACCCAGCCATGCTGCTCCCCCAACAGGATTTAATATTGCGGGGTGGGAATATCTTGTTGTATAAACACAGGCTGAACTACTGATCCAATCTGTATTTGTCACACAGGCCCACCAGTGAATGTCAGCTGCAACATTTTCATCAACAGCTTTGGTTCAATTGCAGAAACAACTATGGTAAGTATATTAAAAAAATCACAGCTTCTCAGATACTGGGTCGGTCTCATTTGCATCAAGATGCTCTATTTTGCTGTGACCAGTGGAAAATGGTACCTCTATGCTTCTTTACCTCAGGTTTGAGTAAATTTTTTTAATTAAAAAAAAAATCAATATTTCCAAGTCCAGGCCAGCTTCAGGTGAAATTAGTGAACATAGCTAAAGACTGGCTCCAATTTGCAAAGCACCAGGAGGAGACAGTTATAAGAACAAGAACTAATGATTTTCAGATGGAACAATTAAAGATTGGTTGTGACATAATCAGTGAACAGCAAACCGAAGCTCTGGAAGTGCAGTGCCATCCTCCTGCACTAATTAAAGATAATGCAGCAGTATGATGTTTACTTAACACTTTGGTAATTCTTTTTCTAGAAAGTTGGTGAATGAAGTATGTAAAACTCCAGTTCCACTTGTTCTGTGCATCTAGACAGGAGGTCACAGGATTTTGCATACATACATGGTCATACACGCACTGTCAGTGGAGAACAACCTAGAACTGTACGTTTTTTAGACCACTGTTCATACCATTCTTCTTCTAAGGTTGGGGGGAAGAGAGAAGAAGCATATTAGTGAATTCCTTTGTATGTAAGGCATGAGAAAAAGATTTGGAACTGCAATGTGGATCAGGTCCTGATGTGCATTTTGCTGAATACATCTCTCGGTTACAGGTGATAAATACTCTATTTGTACACAGTCTGGCAGAGGAGATC